TGGATGATTAGGCCTTCCTATTCAGGCTCGTTGGGTAATTAAAGCAGTCCAACTCTAAGTTGCATTGGTGGCATGATGGAAAGGAGAAAGATTATCTGGTAACCTGGACTACAAGAGTAGCTGGCTTCAGTGCCAATCACTTCTGTAGTGGCTCTAACTCCTTCATATGCTGCAAGTATCTCCTTTTCAGGTGTCATGTAGCTGACCTCGGAACCTCTGTAGCTCCGGCTCCAGAATCCCAAGGGTCGACCTTAAGTCTCCCTTGGTGCCTTCTGCCAGAGGCTCCAGTTGGGACCATTGTGTCCGACTGCTGTGTAGAGCACATTCTTGATGTCTGGCCCTGTTCGAACTGGTCCAAGCCTGCACAATCTCCTTTTTGATCTGCTCAAAAGCTTTCTGTTGGTCAGGACCCCATTTAAAATAATTTTTCTTTCAGGTCACCTCATAGAGAGGTTTCACAATTTCACTGTAACATGGAATATGCATTCTCCAGAAACCAACAGTCCCTAACAAGGTTTGAGTGTCCTTTTTAGTAGATGTCTGGACTATAGATGTTATTTTGTTAATCACATCCATTGGGATGTGGCGACATCCCTCTTGCCACTTGATTCCCAGGAACTAGATCTCTCATGAAGGTTTTTACAGCAAAACCAGCATCCAGAAGAATTTGGATGATCTCTTTACCTTTCTCAAAAGCTTCTTCTGGCGTGTCACCCCACACAATGATGTCATCAATGTACTGCAGGTGTTCTGGAGCTCCACCCTTCTCCAGTGCAGCATGGATCAGTCCATGGCAGATGGTTAAGCTGTGTTTCCACCCCTGGAGTAGTCGATTCCAGGTGTACTGGACTCCCCTCCAGGTGAAAGCAAACTGTGGCCTGCACTCTGGTGCTAGAGGAACAGAGAAAAAGGCGTGAGCAATGTCAATAGTGGCATACCACCTAGCTGCTTTTGACTCCAGCTCATACTGGAGTTCTGGAATGTCTGGCACAGCAGGACTGAGCGGTGGTGTAACTTCATTGAGGCCACGATAATCCACTGTCAGCCTCCACTTTCCATCAGGCTTTCACAGTGGCCAGATAGGACTGTTGAACGGTGAGTGAGTCCTGCTGATCACTCCTTGGCTCTCCAGTTGCCCAATCATCTTATGAACGGGGTCTCTGTTGGTGTGATATTGTTGTCTATGCACCATTGAAGTAGCAATTAGCACCTGTTGGTCTTCGACCTTCAGCAACCCCACTAGAGAAGGGTCATCTGAAAGGCCAGGCAAACTATGCAGCTGTTCATTGTCCTCAGTCTCTACAGTTGCTATACCAAAGGCCCACTGGTACCCTTTTGGGTCACGGAAATATCCTTTTTTGAGATAGTCTATGCCAAGGATGCACGGAGCATCTGGGCCCGTCACTACAGGGTGCATTTGCCACTCCTTACCAGTGAGGCTCACACCGGCCTCCACAACAGTCAGTTGTTGAGAACCTCCTGTCACTCCAGAGATAGTGACGGAGTCTGCCTCTTTATGATTCGATGGCATTAGTGTGCACTGTGCACCAGTGTCCACCAAAGCTTTATATCTTTGTGGTTCTCATGTGCCAGGCCACCGAATCCACACAGTCCAATAAACTTGGTTGTCCCTCTCCTCCTCCTGGCTGGAGGCAGGGCATCTCTAAGGTTGAGCATTAGAGTTTGATGAGCCATCCTGGTTGTTGATTGGTGCAGCCTTCTTGGAAGAACCATCACCTGCCTTTGTTCTGTTTAGTAGCTCTTGCACTCGTATCTGGAGAATATTAGTGTGTCTCTTGTCCCAGACTCTCATGTCGTCTTTAAAATAATTTTTCAAGAGAGACCACAGGTGGTGTCGAAGTGAGTCCTGTCTCTCTCGCTGCTGTCTCATAGCAGGATGTTTCCTCTTAATGGCTGCAACATGAGACCAGTTGTCTCTAGGGAGATTCTGGGGTTTACCTCCCCACCTGTTTGGCATCTTATTCTTTCTGTCAGTCATTTGTTCAATGGCTGAGGTGTGGAACTCATGGGAATCAGAAATAATGTCTCCATACTGTCGTGCTTTGAAAGCCACTTCACACACAGTTGGTCTTGCGTCATCATCAGTGCACCCCATGAAGGAGAATATATGGGTATGTGCTGCTGGTACAGCCGGCGCAAACCTCCAGAACATTTGTGTCGCACAGAATGTCATCAGGATTTGTAAGTCTATCTTTTTCATAGATCACCTCTCACACAGCTATTTCCCTCAAGTATGTGATGCTTTCTCAAGAGTGGGTGTTCTGCTTTGGTGCCATTCGATGTCACCCTTATAGGGGTATCTCTCCCTCACAGCTGAAAGAAATCGGTCCAACAGGGTGGTAGTTCCCATCTTTCTACTAAGTGCTCTGACAATACCAGCAACTCTGGCCAAGGATACCAGCTGCTTGGCTTCTGTCTTATCCACGTTGCAGGTTTCAGCACCACTATCAAGGCATGGGAGCAACCATGGAAGAATTCCCTCACCATAAGTGTGGGTGAAGTCCTTTCTCATGAGGCACAAGTTCTTTCATAAAGAAAAGTTGGACAAGGTCATCATCATCATCTGATTGAGGACAACCTGCTGTTCTCTCTGCTTGAGAGTGGACTGGTTTTTTATCTGTTTCAGAGGTACCTGCTCCATCAACTGATTTAGTATCCTCTGCCTCCTCAGTTTCAGTCTCAGTTGTTGCCTGAAGGAACTCTGGTTGTCTCAGACGGGATGAGCATTTTGCCTTTGCCTTGCTCCTGGTCACAGGGTGAACTAGCTTGATTTGAAAGGGAGTGGACTTTATCTCTATAGAAGCAGCTGTTTTTATAGCAGTATGAGTGGTGGTATCAGCAGCAGTGGTGGTGGCAGCTTCACGGGTGGCAGCAGCAGTGGCAGCAGCATTGCCTGTGGGGGAGTGGCAGTGAGTGGAGCAACAGCTCACCCTACATATCCACAATATATTATAAGCATTCAGCAGAAACATCCCTACTGCAGCAGTGCTATTCAGATCAAAAGCAGGGAGATTCAGCTTGAGAGAAATTGGGGAAGTAAAATTGAACCTGCTACTGGCATTACCAACATGGACTGTTCCGTTCACTTTAGGAGTTGTGCCATAACTGTACACATACAGTGCCCCCATAAAGAACAGTATCATGATCCCTAGGATCATCAGACTGGTCATTATATGGTTGATTATAGCTACAGTTCTGTCGATAAGCCATGAAACAATAACAAGAGCAGCTACACAGATCACTATGTACTTGGCTGTATACCACAGGTACAGTTGCATCTTGGGAAAAAAGTCCAGTAGATTCATTGCAGAAAGTGTCTGTTCAGTTTTCAATCCGTCAGGAAATTCAGCAGAACTGTTGCCCATTGCTATCTGAGGGATTCCTCCCATCAGAGATGAAATTTTGAACACTCCGAATTAATGAAAAGTTATAATATGGGCTTAAAATTAAGCCCCACGTTTGGCACCAAAAAAATTGTTGTCACTCTTTGACTCAGGTCTAACAACAATGCTCTCAATTCCCTCCCCCTCCCACCCAGGTAGGGAAGGAGAGAAAGAAAAAGAAAGAGACTTTGCCAGATTGAAAACTAAACTACACAGCTTTAATTAAACATTAATGATATAAGAAAATATATACAATTATATACAAATATGTTCAGGTATGCGCAAAAGCCTCTCGCCTCTCCCCTACCCCCAGCAACTCCCACAGCACACTCCTTAGATGCAAACAGTCCTGAAAAATCCCAGACTGCTGCTGGAGAAAGTGGAGAGTAAAGAGGGTCAGGAGAGCTCAAGCCTAAGGGTCAACGGTGATGGATGGATGGCGTTCTCCCTGGACGCCAGCCATGGATGGAAGAGAAGGGAAGAAGCAGCAGGAAGGAAGTTGTCTTCTGTGATCTCTGACCTTCCTCTGAGCTTACGTAGATATATGGAATGGAATATCTCTGACCAATTTTGCTGTCTGTCTAACTCAGCCTCCCATGGGGGGGTCATAGATTTCTCGGTAGCGTCTGAGCCGGCAGAGTAAAGATGTGACCTTGAAGACCCAGCAGTTAGAAAAACATTTGGTCTTATCAGCCTTAGTTGGAAGACTCTGTGACTAGTTAAAAGAAAGCTTACTGAAGGAAAAAAAAAATCAGTAAAAGGAAAATTGGCTTCATCCTGGCTTAAACCAGGACAGGCTGTAAATCTTTTTTTTCTAAATATGGTTCACTTCAGCTAGAAGTTTTTAATTTAATGTATCTTATGATAATTTCAATTCATTGTGCACCTCTTTCATTACAGAATGTTAGCTTGCCTGAAGGAATAGCAAGTTAAGAGAGGTTACACATTGCAGCCTATGATGCATTATGTGCACCCAATTCATCTTTACACCAGCTATGTTAAGATGCAAAGGGGAATTAATTTCATTAAATACACAAGAACAAGTTGTCAAACAGGTGTCCAGAGATGCTGTACAGCCTCCATCCTGGGTATTTTTATGACCTAATGGGAGAGACCGCTGAGTAAACTGGTCTGACCTTTCAACTGACCCTGCTTTGAGCAGGAGGCTGGACTAGAGACTTCCTGAGGACCACTCCAACATTATTTTATGAATCACTGTATTCTCAACAAGTTTTTCACTGAAGGGCTAAACTTGAAACTTGTATGTATGTTCAACTGTAGAGCTGTTTAGTCAGTGTGCTGCATCTGTTACTAAAAACCCTTCTCTTTTTCCACCTCTGTCTTGCTTCTCTAGTGGTGGTGGGTTTCTCTGCCCAAGGCATTTTTCTTTTTAGTTTACAAAGCTTATAGGTCATTTTCACATACTCTAAAATAACTGAAAATGGGTGCACGCTGGTTTTTGGGATTTTTTTTTTTTTCCCATTTTGGGTACTACTGTGAGTGGCAATTTCATTTTGTTTCTGGGTTGCAGACACTGTTTCCTTAATTAGTATATTTGTCAGTGCATTAAACTTTCTTTTATTTCTGGTTTTACAGGCAAATCCTACCTGCCCAATTTGCAGAGCTGATGCTTCAGAAGTGCATTGTGATTCAGAATGACAAAAGAGCACAAATCTGATTTGGATGTTCCTGGTCACGTGTATATATGAACTATACATTGAACTTACCTATGTAGCTTCCAGCATTCCTTTTACACAGAAAGGTCAATGGACATTTCTTTGCACTGTGCGACTTAATTGATTCTAAAGCTTATAATTACTCTTCACAATTGTGGGATTGCTATACTAACTGTGTGATTGGAATGCCAAAGACATCCTTTAGCTTAATTTTTTGTGTGTAGTAACCTTTCCTGGTTTTTGTGTGATCATTCTGAGTGTTGCTGCGAGATTACAGTGGATATGATATTTTAGCATGTGCTTTTATAAAAAGTGGTAGCTTGGAACAACGTAGGAATCTACCTTCATATACTGTGAATGGGAATTAATGGGGGGAAAGCAGCTGAGAGGATGTGTGAAGTGCACTTGTGACTGTGAGTATATGTGTTTGAGAACATACATACCAGCATGTGCTAAGAATGTGTGTATGCAGTATTAATTATGCTGCAATGTATTTCCTTGTGTTTGGAGTCACACACCGAATGCAGAGGGTGCTTCAATTATAGACATTTAATACTTCCTCCCTAATATACTTAATGGTATAAAAAGACTTTTTTTACTTGCTATTAAAAAATAAGTTATGCTTCCCCTTTATTGGAGACTTTTATGTATACCTCTAAATAGTGTACTCATTGCTCACTAACTGAGTAACCTTGGGTTATTACACATTATAGGAAATAAACATTTCAGTATGATAGGTTTACTGCTTATTTTATTGATTTAAAGTTTCAATATTGCATAACTCGGTCAACAATATTAACACTTCCAATTGGTGACTTTAATGTTGAAGCTCTTCTGTTCTCCTCAGTTTTTCTAACTGGGTTTTATTTATGTTCAGTAGATTTCAGATTAGACTTCAGTTCTGAAGGTACTGCACTTTGTGCTTCTCCTCCAAAAGGAAGATAAAAAGGTTTTGAGGGTCTTGTGCAAAGTTTCTTCACTTTGACCATTATACTTGCTAAGGATGTACTCCTTTAGTATATAAACATTGGCTTTAATCACTTATGTTCTTTGTTTACAAGAAGCAGGAAGGAAGTTGTCTTCTCTGACCTCTGACCTTCCTCTGAGCTGATATAGATATATGTATGGAATATCTCTGGCCAATGTTGCTATCTTTCTAGTTGCAGACACGACTCTTCTGCCCCGGTAGCCTCTGTGGCGGCAGAGCAAAGAAGCGACCTTGGAGTTTCAGCAGTAACATAAAAATTCCAGTGTTAACAGTCCACTAGCTGGAACATTTGCTGCTAGTTAAATGAGAGCTACTGAAGGAAAAAAAAAACAGTGAAAGGAAAAGTGGCTTCATCCTGGCTCAAACCAGGACATTCCACCCCTTATTCCATACCATATATTACATATAGGCTCTATATTTTACCAACTGTCAATTAAGGATTCTCCCCCAGAGTCAGATTACTTTGAGGTACACATTGCTTTTCACCATCCTCCATCATCACACACCAGGTGTGTCCAGGTCCCTGACAAAAGCACACCCCAGACAAGTTTACCTTTGCCTGAAGCAGGATCGACCCAACTTTTACCCAACAGATTTCTTTTACATACCACAGGGACTTTATCCCCATCTGCAGTATGTAAAAGGTCTGACTGAGCAGGACCAGCCCGACTGATGGATCCCCTGGTATTAACTAACCTTTGGTGGCCTTTGCCAAATTTTGGTCCCAGTTTTTGAAAGTTCCACCACCCATTGCCTTCAGGGTAGCCTTCAACAAACCATTGTACCTTTCAACTTTCCCTGAGGCTTGTGCATAATACGGGGTATGGTATATCCACTCAATACCATGCTCTTTAGCCCAGTCAGTGACAAGACTGTTTTTGAAATGAGTCCCATTGTGTGACTCCATTCTTTCTGGAGTACCATGTCTCCACAAAATTTGCTTCTCAAAGCCCAGGATCATATTCTGGGCTGTGGCATGAGGCACAGGATATGTTTCCAGCCATCCTGTACTTGTTTCCACCAATTTAAACACATAGCATTTACCCTGGCAGTGTGTGTGAGTGTATGGGAGTTGAGTGAGTGGCCATGTGAGATGTGTTTTATATGATTTAACGCCTTGAATGGAATCACAAATATGTAGGAAACAAATTTAGAATGTGGGGATACAAGGTATGCAAAACTTCCCAGAGATAGTCACTTAGATTGAAAGGAGAAGAGAGGTTATGATAGAAAGGTGGCTTGTATAGAATCATCCTGGTTGGAAGGGACCTTGAAGATCATCAAGTCCAACCATAAACTAAATCCCCCTACCATAACCTCATTTATCCATTCAGTGCTTAAATCATGTCTCTAAGCCCTATATCTACATTTCTTTTAAGTATTTCCATGGATAGCGACTCCACCACCTCCCTGGGCAGCCTGTTCCACTGTCCAACCACTCTTTCGGTAAAGAAATTCTTTCTAATATCCAGTCTAAACCTCTCTTGATGCAGCTTCAGGGATAACTCGTGTAACGGGTGTCGCGGGCCGGTATTGGGGGGCTACCGGCTGTCAGGATGTTTTCGCAACTTCCCCCCAGTGTGGAGAGGTTTGTGAATG